AAAAAAAAAAAAAAGACGAAGAAATTGTCTTCAGTATGGGAGATGCACATCCCCTCACCTAGGCGCAGGTGCTTAGGAGGCCGTGGTGGCTGTGAGTTCACTTGCTGATGTGGGGCCAAGGGTTACTGCTCCCATCAAGGCTTCCGTAGCAACAACAAGCACTGACCTTTGAGTAAACAGCCCTGTGGAAAGTGCACAGTCACAGTGAATCACACTCCAGCCTGAGCCTTCAGAAGCAGAGGCCGTGCATTTGGCTCAGGGATGGTGTGTTTGCCTAGCGTGTGTGAGAGCCTGGGTTCCAGCCTCAGCTCTGCCAGCAAGCCGGCAGGAGAAAGCAAGATGTAGTGTTGACAGTCACCGTGACCACCCGCTTCTGACTTCCCCTTGGCTTTATGGGTTTTGTTTGTATTTTAAATATTGTGGGGCTTTTAAAATCCAGAGACTTAGCTACCCCTAGGCTCATGGTCTTAATGTCCTCCTGGTAATGGCTCTCCTGTGGTCGGCCAGTGGGAAAGCTGCTTGGGCTGCCCTCTTTAGAAGCACAGCAGGGCCTGGGAGGGCATGGAAAGATTTCTGATAGTTCCATTGGAATCACAGATAGGCTGGAATGAGGCTCAGCCAGGTACTAAACATCTGCACGAACTCATGCCCTCTGGGTTTGGGGCCGTGTGAGTTTGGGGTTCCAAATTCAGCCATTAAAGAACTAAATGGTGGGTATAGTGGCACATGCCTTTAATCCTGGCACTCGGGAGGCATCACTGTAAATTTGAGGCCAGTGTGGTCTACATAGGGAGTTCCAGGCCAGCTGGGGCCATATAGAAAGACCCACGTCTAAAAAGAAGGGGGGGAAAAAGGCCTATTGGGTGACAGAGACACATATGAAGCAAAACAGTCTTAAATATTGATTAAATGTACATGGAGAAGAATGCTTCTAAAGCAGCTGTAGGGCTGGTGTGGTGGCTTAGCAGGTAAAGGTGCCTGCTGCCAAGCCCAACAACCTGAGTTCGATCCCTGGGTCCCATATAATAGGAGGAGAGAATGTACTCCTGAAAGTTCCACACGTACCATGGCTTGCGCGCCCCCGCCCCCCCATGGATGTAATAAAATCAGAGCAGCCATAGATCTGGCAAAAATAAGTAAGTCAGGTGGTGTGTGCTTCCTGGTCTTTGTGATTGCCTGGGACACCGTGATCTGCTTGTGAAAAGTTTGTATGTTGAACCCCGTCACTCTGTGAGTATTAAGAGCCAGGCTTTGGGCTGAAGAGTTAGCCAGCTTTTCCATTACCATGGAAGTGTCCAGGATAATCGGAGGACAGGCTTGTTTGAGCCCACCGTTTTGGGAGTTTCAGCCCGTGGTCCCACATCCACTGCACTTGGGTCTGTGATGCAGCCCCTCACAACCGTGGGGAATGGGGTAGAGTAAAGCTGCTCACCTCCTGCAGCTGGAAAACAGCACAGGACAAGGCGGGGTCTCAGGTACTGCCCAGGACACCCCCTCTGCACCTGATTTCTTTCTGTGAGGCCATGTCTCTGGAGGTTCCAGCACATCCCAATGGTTCTACAAGCTGGTGGGGAGGGACGACAAGTTTTCAATGTATGCATTTTAGAAACTATAGCAGCTAAGGGGTACAGGTCCGTGGTAGGGTGTGCTCAGCATATGTGAGACCCTGAGTTCAATTTTCATGTACCCACCCCCTTGACCTGCTAGGAGGCGATTGGGGTGCTGGAAGGGGGCTTCAGAGGGTGGGTTTGTCCTGTCTCTTACTGTGAGGCTATAAAGATTCCTCACTGGACACTGGACTTTCTGGCTCCTTGATTTTGAGTCCTCCAGTCTCTTAAACAGAAAAACTTATACTGTTTATAACCCAATCAGTCTATGGTATTTTTATGTACTTTTGAGATTGGGTCTCATATAGCCCAGGCTGGCCTCAAACTTGATTTGTAGCCAAGAATGACCTCGTACCTTCGATCTTCCTGTCTCTACCACCTAAGTATTAACTTGACAGTTGCACACAGCACAGTCTGGCTTGTGAGGTACTGGGAATCAAACCCAGGACCTTATGCATGCTAGGCAAGCGCTCTACCAACCAAGCCACCTGCCAGTCTGTGCTATTTGCTGCAGCAGAGTGAAGTGACTGAGTCACCCTCCCTTGACTGCAAGATGGATGACATTTCCCTCCAAGCTGTCTAAGCACACACCAGACGTCCCTCCCTGACGTGTTCCCAGACCCACACCGGCCGTCCTCTGTGCCCTTCCGCACTGCAGGAGCCTGGACGCTTGCCTTGCAGAGAGTCTGCCTGCCGTTGGGACTCTGTGATGTGCTGCTCAGCCTGCAGAGAAACCGTAAACCAGGTGGGAGTTTCCTGGCCCGCTCCCGACATGGTGGGAATTCTGTGCCGTTTGAGGAAATCACGGCACCTCGGTCACCAGCACCATCACACCTTTTGACTAAGCACCCGTGAGCCTCAGCCACTTGGTGCTAGGATTGAGACTTGCTCCAGCTTTTCTTCCAGGCAGAACTGCCAGGTGAGGGCACCTCTCACTGACATCACTGGGTATGTTGAACCACCGGTCCAGAGAAAGGACTCCACCTCAGTGAACTTGGGGCAGGATGTGAGGGAGAGAAAGAAGGAAGAGAAATTGGGAGCGGGGGAGGGAACTTGGGCAGACTGGGCAGGCCAACCCAGGAAGGCGGCAGTGGAGAATCCCCGAGGCCCAAATGCTGGGAAAACATACCAGCCCACAGGCTGTTCCTGGTCGTCCGGGCCCATGGCTGTCTCCTGGCATTTTCTACCTGGGCCTCTCATTCTTGGGCTGGGTGGTCCTGCTGCAGGGACACCCCCAGTGCTTGGATTATGGACCACCCTTCCGTCCTTCTCTCCACCTGGAGTTTTGCTCTGACTATGACTCCTTCGGCTGCTGCGATCAGCGCAAGGACCACCGCATCGCTGCCCGGTACTGGGACATCATGAACTACTTTGACCTGAAGGGCCACGAGTTGTGTGGAGGTTACATTAAAGACATCCTTTGCCAGGTGGGTCTGAGTCTAATCCTATGAGGAGGAGAGAAGAGCAAGTTTGGAAAAGGGCTTTCTGGCTTTAGGGTGCAGGGCTGAATGGCAGGCAGATCCTGGGCTAGGACGTTCTTGCCAGGTACCTCCCTGGAGAGCTGGAGGAGAGAGTGTACGCTGGCTCTCCGTGCTCCGTGCTCTTCCCTCTGGGGTTTTTCCCCAGACAGCAGAAGACTGAGAAGTATTCATGGAGTTCTCAGTGCAGCTGCTCTGACCTGCCTATAGGGACCAGAGAGCTGGGCACAGCGTTCCTGTGGCATTTGAGGATCATACAAGGGAGGGAGTGGTGGCACCTGCGGGGGGGGGGGGGTGCCTTGCAAAGGGGGCTTCTTCTGTGACAGTGGTGGGGTCAGGGTTGGGGTCCTGTCTGCAGAGCTCCTGAGCTGGATGGAGAGAGCCGCAAGTTGCTGGGAGGTGATGACTCAGAGTTTCTCTTCTCCAGGCTCACCAGCAGCCAACATCCACACTTGGGAGGCATCACCGTAGGTGAGCTGAGATTGAAAACACGATGGGGCGGGGGTGGGGGTGGGGTGGAGAGGAGCTGCTGTTAAGAAAGCAGCACTCTAGTGATGGGACAGAAGTCCAGGCTGACCTTTGACCTGATGCCTTCCAGGGTATGTTAGAGCTATGATGTGGCTGTTCCAGGCCTTCTTTTCAACGATGACCACTGTTCCCAAGAATGCTGGCCTCCCAGCTCTATGCATGGGCACAGACATCCCAGGCAGGACATAGTGCAGTCTTACTCAGAGGACAGCCGGCTTGGTGGCATTGCCCTGGGGCTGTGCTCTCATGCCAGGGCACCATCCCTTAGCTGTTTCCTGGAGACTTGTCTCTGAGATGAGCATGTGAGGTGTGTGTGTGTGTGTGTGTGTGTGTGAGAGAGAGAGAGAGAGAGAGAGAGAGAGAGAGAGAGAGAGAGAGAGAGAGAGACAGGGTCACAGGGTCTTGTAAGATTGGAACTCCCTGATTCAGGTAGGTGGCTGGCTAGTGAGCTGTAGATAGCCTCTGTCTCTGCTCCAGTGCTGGGGTTACAGACCCAGTGCCAGGCTGGGGTCCAAATGCAGGTCCTCATGCCAGCAAGCCTCTTCAGTGACCGAGCGGTCTCCTCAGCCCCAGACTTTGGGTTTTACAAATAGCAGGGACACTTTATTTCTGAGATGCCCTCTACTGAATACCCTCCTCCCTTCCATGTCCTCTCCAATTCAGAAAGCCACATTCAGCTGCTCCCTTGTTGTATTGAACTTGAAGAAGAATATAACCTGACTTTTGTCTATTCGTTTAAGTAGACAAGGCCATTTCCCCCCACCACGTGTGGTCTATACCTGAAGTGATTCCGCAGGAGTCAGGTTGGCTTCAGGTTTCAGGACCTCTTGATTACACCACACCAGAGTTTGGTACCAGCATCATGTCTGCCCCATTTCTGCAGTGGTTTTCTGAACTCCAGGGAGTATGAGCTCCGTAAGAAGTTGACTGCACTTTGCTCACCGCTGCTCGTGGGCCTTGCACACGGGAGAGGTGCAATGGTGCACCCACACAGCAGAGCTCTTCCGGGCCTGAGTCTCTCCCCCTTGGAGAAACACGGGCTTGGTTCCTGAGATGAGTCAAAACAACTCTGGGCTCTAGATGGCTGCCTTCGTGTGCCAGGGTGATGGCTACATTCCCGCTGCCAACTTCTGTTCCCGAGTCTGTCACCGTTTCTCTCCTTCTCCCTTTGCTTCGCTCTCCAAACGGACGGGGCTGGGCTGATACTAGAGAGTGGGCCATTTTGCTTTTGTGTATCAAAAATGTGGGTCCTAGAGAAACGATTAACAGCAGTTTGTAAGCAAACCTCCAGAATGCCGATACCCTACTAGACCGTTTCTCCTTTTCTTTGCCTGTTCGAACTCTGGTGGAGCTTCCTGTTCTTCTTCCAGGAGTGCTCTCCTTACGCAGCCCACCTCTACGATGCTGAGAACCCTCAGACCCCCCTCCGGAACCTCCCGGGCCTCTGTTCTGACTACTGCTCTGCTTTCCACCACAACTGCCACGCTGCCATCTCCCTGCTGACCAATGACCGCAGCCTCCAGGAGTCCCATGCAAAAGATGGCGCTCGCTTCTGCCACCTCCTCAACCTGCCCGACCAGGACTACTGCTTCCCCAATGTCCTGAGGAACAGTCAGCTCAACCGCAACCTGGGAGCGGTGGCTGAGGACCACCAGGGCTGCCTGCAGCTCTGCCTGGCCGAGGTGGCCAACGGGCTGAGGAACCCCGTGGCCATGGTCCATGCTGGGGACGGCACCCGCCGCTTCTTCGTGGCCGAGCAGGTGGGAGTGGTGTGGGTCTACCTCCCCGATGGGAGTCGCCTGGAACAGCCCTTCCTGGACCTCAAGAGCATGGTGCTGACCACACCGTGGATTGGGGATGAGCGAGGATTCTTGGGGCTGGCTTTCCACCCCAGATTCCGCCGCAACCGCAAGTTCTACATTTATTATTCGTGTCTGGGCAAGAGGAAGGTGGAGAAAATCCGGATAAGTGAGATGAAGGTTTCTCTGTCTGACCCTAACAAAGCGGACCCCAAATCAGAGAGGTGAGACAATCCCGTGAGAACCTGGAACCGTGTGTGCTCCCAGATGATGCCCATCCGTTCTTGGGGTGATAGAAAAGGAATAGACCTGGTGTCTGAGTGCTGGCCTAAAATCTTAGGAAAACAGGCTGGGCAGTTGGCTCAGGGGCTAAGAGCAGCTGTTGTTCTTGCAAGGACCAGAGTTCAGTACCCAACACCCACGCAACAGCTCACAACCATCTGTAATTCCAGTTCTGAGGGATACGACCTCCCCCTTCTGGCCTCTGCTGGAACTGCATGCAGGGGGAAAAAACCCCGATACTTGCAGGAAAAAAAGTAATACACATAAAAACATGTTGAGAAAAGACAACCTGGGTAACTCAGTAAAGCATCCTTATGGGGTATAGCCCTTGCTTAAATATCCTAGTTAGAGTCATGCTTAACTTGTGTTTACAAAGGAGAAGCCAGGACTGGCAGCCAAAAGGAATTCTAAAGTGATGATAGATCATATATCAAACACAGTAGCCTCTAATTGATTGTGTGGCCACGAGAAATCAAACCCTTTACCTTTAGTGTGGGGTTTCTCACTCCCATGGGAGCCATGGCACAAGGCCATACGGCTATTGATGCACGGTTAGATGGTGCTGTGGTTTCATTCTGCTGCTGTGACAGGTCCCATGACTAACAACTTAGGGGAGGGAAGGATTTATTTGACTTATACTTCCAGGCCACAGGCCACCTCTGAGGGAAGGTAGGCCTGCTTGCTACTCCATACGGCATTACCTCCAACTGAGGAAATCCTTACACTGTCAATAAAGACAGCGGGAACCATGGAGGATGCTGCCTGGTAGCCGGTGTATACTCAGCAAGCTTCTTTATACCGCCCAGGACCACCTGTCTGAGGATGGTGTGTCCACAGTGGGCTGTGCTCTCCCACGTCCGTTAACTGTCTAGATAGTCCCTATAGACACGCCCACAAGGCAATGCAAGGAGGCAGTCCCTCCCGAGACCCTCCACTCAGATGACTCTGGACCGTGTCACGTTGCTCACCAGGACAGATGAGACACTAGTTCTAGCCGGCTCCACCATCACCTTTGTCTCTCCATCACGCCGCCTTCTCCCGTTCTTTCCCCTTCCTGCCCTGGCCCTTTTCCCATTATTATAACATGAATCTTAAAACTTCTTATTAATAAAAATCAAACCTGAGGCCAGTTATTGGGGTGAACGCTGGGAGATCAGAGAGACAGAACAAGCCACAGCTAACCTCACCTCGCCAATTCCTCAGCTGATCCTGTTTCCTCAGACTGGAAGCCTCTGAGTCCTCATCCCAAATGAACCTCAGCTGACTGCTGCTAAAATCCTAAAAGCTTAACCAGCCAAATGCTTAACCAGGCCAAATGCTTCCAGTTTCTGGTCTTCACGCCTTATATATCTTTCTGGTTTTGCCATCACTCCCTGGGATTAAAAGCTCACTTCTTGGGATTAAAGGTGTGTGTCACCATGCCTGGCTGTTTCCAATGTGACCTTGAATTCACAGAGACCCAGAGGGATTTCTACCTCTGAGATGCTAGGATTAAAGGTGTGAGTGCCACCATTTTCTAGCCTTAGTATCTAGTGGCTGTTCTGTCTCTGACCCCAGATAAGTTTATTAGGGTACACAATATTTTGGGGAACACAATACCACCACACATCATAGACAGGCTAAAGGGTTGGAAAGAACAGAATGACCTGCTCCATCTGCCTTTCTAAGGAAGGAATGGGGAGTTCTGCTGGGGTAGAAGGCAAACCCCAGCGAGGGGTGGCTGTTACCCTGGCTGTGTCTCAGCTTGCGAGGTCATGGTATGAAAGAGGAAAGCTCTCTGGGGAGGCAGCTCAGTGGCAGACGCTTGCCTGGCTTGTGCAAAGGCACTGGGTTCAATCTTTAGTACTGAAAAAAAATTAAAAGATTCACATAGGAATTACACCAGGAAACATGGGGACAGTGCCCCAATCCACCTATGCTGTGGTCCTTGGAGACTGAAGCCAGGCTTGGCTAACTTTGCAGACCTCCGAGGCTTGGGCCGGCCAGCTTCTGGGTGTCTCGAGAGCATGTAGCTTCAGCCTTGCCAAAGCCTAACCTATAGTTTCTTTTTCTCTTCCAGGGTCATCTTGGAAATAGACGAACCAGCCTCAAACCACAATGGGGGACAGCTTCTCTTTGGCCTGGATGGCTATCTGTACATATTCACTGGGGATGGAGGGCAGGCTGGGGATCCCTTTGGCAAGTTTGGAAATGCTCAGAACAAGTAAGCTGGATGGGGGCTGCGCCCCTGTTCCTTTTGAGTGTACCTCTGGTTCAATGTTCTTTCTGCCAGAGTCAAATTTAGATCTAATCCCTTTCTCTGGGAGGAGCCGGTGGGAGGAGCCAGTGGGAGGAGCCGGTGGGAGGAGCCGGTGGGAGGAGTCCGTGAGAGGACCCTTTGGCTTTCTGCCCTATAAACAGTACAGAATATTTTTCTAGCTAATATTATAAATGCTTAATGTAGCCAGGTATGGTGACGTACACATTTAATCCCAGCACTTGGTAGGCAGAGGCAGGTGGATCTCTGTGAGTTTGAGGCCAGCTTGGTTTACACAGTGAGTTCTAGGACAGTCAGAGCTACAGAGTGAGACCCTGTCTCAGTAGATAGATAAAGAAAGCAAATATTAATATAACTACTACAGTGCTGTGTAGAAAAGAATTTAAAAATTAAATGTATGTTATCAGGATGCTCTATGACAACCACCATCTAGTTTGGCTTAAGAGTAGTATTGAGCAGTGTGTCCCAGTCTCTGTAGTAGGTCCCGAGACACATGAGAAGCCAGTTAATAAGAAGAGCTGATATATAGTGAGTGCCCAGTATGTTGACAGTGACTGCTTCAGTCAGAACTTGTATATTATACTTGAGGACATGACGTGCTTCAAGGGCAAGAAAAATGCAATCTGTTATGACATCAGTACCAGGCCTCCTGGAAACACGTATGAAAAATTCGCATCAAGTGTGGGATTATGGTTTTCCCTTTACAGCCACGAAAAAGAATCACAGTAGGTAAATGAGGGACCCTGGGGCTGGGACACGCGTGTCAGAGCCCATCCGTGCCATTCTGCCCTTTGCGCCCAGGAAGCACTTCCTCCCACTATTTGTAGGAGTAAAATATTAACGTTAATCACACTAAGCTAGTGTCTGCTGAAATTCAGGGATTTCACCAAGAACCATGTGCCTAATAGCTCATTGAAAAGTATTACAACAGCAATACCACACAGTGTTCCTTACCTCCGCGATAGGAGAGTGCGGCCCAGCAGTCAAACTCCTCATTGGAAGAGCCTCTCCCCCCCCCCAAAAAAAGTCTATTCTTTTTCTATCTGGGGAAAATGAAAACCATTATTTATTTTCAAATTTATAATATTAGACCAAATTGGAAAGCACCCGTCATTAAGGTAGAAAACAAAAGCTGCCGTTTACTTAGGGTCACGTGGTGCAGGATGGCGTCATGTTCTCTAGATCTCCTTGAGCCAGAGGTGAGGAACTCTTGAACATCTTGTATAGATTTAAAAGAACAAAGCAGGTCACTTTCCCCTGGATTTCCAGCTCTCCTGGCGCCAGCTCTCAGCCTGTCCTGCACCCACCCCACCCCCACCCCCTTCTCTCCTCAGGACCTTTGCAGGTCTTGCTTGTGTCCTTGCTCACCCAGGGCCTCTTTCTCTGCTTTTGTCTTTTAGAAGCTCCCTGCTGGGGAAAGTGTTGCGGGTTGACGTGAACGGAGCAGGCACAGATGGCCGGCGGTACCGAGTGCCCTTGGACAATCCCTTTGTGTCTGAGCCGGGTGCCCACCCTGCCGTCTACGCCTACGGGGTCAGAAACATGTGGCGTTGTGCGGTGGACCGAGGGGACTCTGTCACCCGCCAGGGCCGAGGGCGCATGTTCTGTGGGGATGTGGGCCAGAACAAGTTTGAAGAAGTTGACCTCATCGTTAAAGGCGGGAACTATGGCTGGAGGGCGAAGGAAGGATTTGAATGTTATGATAAGAAACTTTGTCGAAATGCTTCCTTGGGTAAGCAAGAGGGCATCTGGGCTTTTGAATGAGTTGACTAGGTTGGCAGCGGAGGTGGGGGGAGCACAGCCCGAGTACCCTGAAGGTTGTCTCCATGGTAACTTGTTGGGGGGTGGGGGG